AGATCTCACCCGGTCTGCTTTTGGCGAAATATGACAAAAAGCTCTGGCTTTGGCTCTCCATCTTCAGCCTCTTCTGCACCCACAGGTTTTCTGCAGTTTAGACAGGCCAGCATGAACTAACAGTTGCCTTTGCACGACACGCTATGCTGTCAGAAACACACTCCTTAGTTCGGGCCCAACTCCTGTGTGACCCACTGTCCACTACCTTTATTTTTTTTCACGTATTCTTTTGGTTCAAGGAAATCTCCTGTAAAAGGAGATGTTTTCAAGTTCAATAACAACAAAATGTGCTAACCATATTGATTGTGGTTAATATTTTTGCTGTAATTGAGCTACATTACCAAAACCAAGCTCAATAACACCACTAGATCGCAAGAAACTGCAAAGCAGATAAGCCATCCTTGTCTTCTTGGTCTTAAATTTTTGCAAAACATCTTTTCATTATAGAGAAAATGGGAGATAAGGTTGCAGTGGGAGGGACTGGTCATGGAAAAATGGGAACGTTAATAATATAATTATAACCTTGACGAAATGGCTCACACAGAGGGTTTTTATTAATGTATAGCAATTTGTAATTAGTGTTGGCTTTATGACCAGTGTAATATCATATGATCTGTGCATTTCTTTTTATCTTATTTCATGTGTTCTTGCTTAGCTCCTAAAACAGAGGATCTGTTGTATTAGTGCTTCATTATGGGCTTCTTTGGACTCCATGCATGCATCATGTGAATGTCACAAGCAAGCATCACATGGAGTTCTGTTTACATAGAGTGCATTGATGACTGCGCTTTTTTTCCAGGCCCAGATTGTCCCTAAAATCAATTCCTGAGATTCTGCACTTTTCTTTGGCTTGAAATCTGAAGTTGTTTCTTTTTATACTTCAGCAAAGGATCAAGAAGGAAGTGCGTCTTTCAGTGTAGTTCTTATGTATAGGGCCACCATTTACATTTGCACTCTGATATTCCCTCACCAGTTTGATGCAGCAGCGCTATTGGACGATGAATTAATTGGCCGTTCCTTAAATCAGTGTTTGACTTCGGTCACGGTGGTTGCTCCACATGGTTCTTGTTTCTAGCAGCCCATCTATCTTCAAGCCCTTTATTTGGAGTGAAAATGACAGCCAGGACTCACTGCTCCTTTTATCCATTCTTATTCTTCCGCAGTTGTCTTCTCACTGTTGAGCTCACTTAGTTGAATACCAGGGAGAAAATAAAAAAGAGTGGAAATTGCTGCTGGAGACCTTTGCCTGCAGGCTTCTTGTGTCTTTATCTTTTATTCTAGACAGACAGTACTTCTGTAGTGCAACTGTGTTTTCATGCCCATGTGCCTGGATAGTCAATCGTCCTGTGTGCCTTGTTATTTTAAACAGCTGTTGTATAAATATTCATGTTTTGGAGTTTGCACAAATATTCCTGGAATGGTTTTAGGCAATAACAATAATCTGTGTAATCTCTGGTGTTTACTTATCATTATTCAAATTCCGATGATACACACGCCTTAATTAAGCTGTAAAGTAACAAGTTGTTGCTGCACTGTGTGATTCCAGGGAAAACCTGTAGGGACTCCAGACTCCGGGGCCTTCTTCCGTGTCTTGTCTGAACATGGAGTCTCTTCAATGTTCACAGCGCCCACTGCTATGCGTGCTATCCGCCAGCAGGACCCCCAAGCTACAATTGGAAAAAAATATCCACTGACCAGGTACAGAGCAACAAAATAAATGTTTTTGAATCAGTGGGGATTGGTGCTAAAGCAACAAATGGATGAATATGGAACTGAGATAAAATTCCTTTCTTCCTTCTTATGTGAGAATTTATTGTGTTTCTCATGTGTATTTGCAAAACAAAGCAAAGCAGCGTAGCGATGTTACTGCGTGACTGCAGTTATTTCTGACATGTTATACACCGTCTGATACAAAAGACTGTATACCGAAGATGGTAGTAGGTTTTTATGGACTCATTTTGAAAATTTAAAGTTTTTTTTGGTTGTTGTTTGTTTGTTTTTGAGACATACCAATCATATCCAGGTACTCCGGCACAATCGAAAGACATGGTTAGGTTGACTGGCAGGACTAAATTGGGGAGAGGCGAAAATGTGAGAGGGAAAGACTGTCAGTACATATCTAGTCCTGCAACAGACCGGCGACCTGTCCGGGCTGTACTCGCCTTTTGTCCCATGACCTATAATATCTCTTTGAGGACCTGCAGGTTGCAACATTTCTCAGTTGGTGTAATTTCACAGGATGTGAAACGCTGTGAAATAACCATGTTACAGCAAGCAAATGAGAAAAACCTCATTTAATCCAATGAAGGTAATTTCACAAAACGAAATGGCCTAAAAAGGTTAATAAATGCACTAAAGGAAGAGTTAAGTTGAATGTGAAGAGCTCAATAACTTTTCAGCCTTGGAGGTTTCAACTTGATTGTGATTGTAGTTATTTTTCATTTTCAACCCTAATGTTGATCCAAAACCTTAAGCCTAAGAACCCCATGCAAAGGTTTTTGGGGATTCTTTCTTTTAGCGTAGCCTCAGCCTGTAAGACTATGATCTTTGCCCTTATTATGATGGCTACATGGACTGAAACTGAGAGATAATTGCATATTATCTTGGGACTCTGACGAACCTGCTGGGTGAGAGAACAGCAGCTATATCCATCAGCTGTCAGTGGCAGAGGACTTTGAAACGCCAGGAGTGACTTGTTAAAGCATCTCATGGCTGACGGTTGTCCGCGCAGCCTCTCGTTAGTCTCTGGCCATCTGCTGATGCACAGCCCTCTCCCACCTCTGTTGCTCACAGTCCGTACCCTCAACTCGACCCGCTCGAGTGTTAATCACGATAGATAACAAGCAACAGCATCTCACTGACTGCAGCCCACCTGTGTTAAATCACTCTGCGTGATCAGGTGAAGGTCGTCTGTAGCTCAGAGTTAAAAACAAACATTTTTCATGGTATTAGTTTAACTTGGATTAAATGCTTCATGAGATTTTGTTAATTCTTTGGCACAGAGCGTAAAAATGTACGGGGGGTTTGTGTCAGTCTGTTCCGCAGTCTGAAAACGCCACTTAGCACACAATCATAAAGCAATTCTAAGTGGGAATGACCTATGGCCCTAGTGAATCATTCAGTAACTCTGGCATTGTGTGCTGAATCGACGATCTCCTGTTGTTCCCTGTGCTGAATGCATAGCACCTTTTTAAAAGCTCTTTCTGCAGTCAGAGATGATTTTTCTGCTGTATTTTTTTTTTTTTTTTGCTTCACATATTGTTGAAATCTCTCCTCTCAGCTGTGACCCTGCCACAATCAGTCATTTAGGCAACTGTTCCCGTGTACACTTCCTTGTTCTTAATGCATTTTTTCCCCTTGGCAGAAGCGCATTTGTAAAAGATTGCTGCAATTCCCGTTGGTTTTGAGCAAGACAATTTGCCATCATATACATGCTGCATTATAAAAGCAGCATTAAAACAGGGTTTCTTTGTGGTGCAGTCATTGTTCCAAAAAAGAGCTTTCATTCCAATCAAATCTGGCTTTTTGATGCTAATACAGTGAATTCAAAATGCTTTAAGTGTAGAAGGCTGTTAATCACAGTTTACGTGTCAGTTCAAATCTGTCTTGAGTGCTTAATTTGCTACACAAAAAGAAGGAAAGCTATTTTTTCACTTATCGTCTTGTATTTGACAGTCATTATAAACACAATCCTGCTTATAAACAGTCAGAATCTGTAGGGAAGATTTTCGATACCAAGATGATCTTTTGCAATCTGAGTAATGATCACAAAACATTTGAGGAAATCGCAGCTTCTTGAAATTTATCAGCAGTTGTAAACAGTGTGCAGGCAGTCTTTAATCAGCTATCTGTTATTCATTATGTGGTTGTCTTGGCTCTACTAGAAGCCCTGAAATATTGGCTGCTGTCTCTGAAATCATTAAACTATAATCCATGAGTTCCCAGATTGATTTTTCTAGGCTTACATGCATATCATAATAGTCTGTGTATGTTGTCCCATCAAAATGCCTGTCTCGATGCCTGGGACGGGCATTGTGATGTGTATATATATATATTTTTTTGAGCCATGTTGTTGTGGTTGAAATCTAATCATTTATTTCTGTTAGCTTAGTATTTATATTTGGCTTCATGTAGCTTGTGTTTTTTTGTTTGTTCTTTTGGGTTCCTCATGTCCTTTTGTATTATGCTGCAGTCTGTTCTTTGAATTTTTATTCTAGTGTATTTTCAATGTAAGGTTGTGCTTTTATTCTGGTTTATTTATTTTCATCATTACTTCCAGCAAGGACGTCATATTTCTGGTAGCAATTGTGTGCCTGTATGTCATCACTGTGTCAGTAAATAAGATGGCTCGAAAAGTTTTGTTTTTACTGATTAAACTTTACGGGGGTGTAGAGTGAGGTCAGGTCAACAATCTGTTAAAATTTGGCTTGCATCGACCAAAGTGTTCAAGGTCAACTTAATGATTTATTTGTTAAGATGGACAAAAAGCCATATAACTTGGAAACTAGCATTCTTGTCTTGTCTTTATTCTAGTAGAATAGAGATTAAGATTATGAAAGATTATTATGGCTCATTTTTTATTTATTTATTTATTTAAATTTATAGCAAATTATTATTCTCTTTTTTTTGGGGGATCCTGCTCAACTTTTCAGTTCTTATATTTGAATTTGGATTTCTGTTATTATCTTCTTGTTATTCTCTTGTGACCTGATTTCTGTTTAGTTTGTCTTTTCAGAGATTAGTGCAGTTCTTCGTGTTTAGGGTTAGGATTGGTCTCCTTTCTTTATTTCCTGTTTTACTTTGTAGGTTTGTTCCATTTTAGTTTTACTTTCCAATTTCAGTGATTTCTTGCTTGTGTTCACCTGCCGTTCGTTGTGTGGGATTTAACCTCCTCATGTGTTCAAATCTGTGTGTGTGTATACACGCACGCACACTGTGTAACAGTCCTGTCATTGCATTGTTCAGAGTTATGTTGTACTAGTATGCTGTATATCCCTGGTCCAGCAGTCCTCTTGTTTCTGTTTCATAGTACTTTTTGAATGTTTGGATTATTGTTGATCATACCTTCCATGAATTCAAAGATTTTGGACTGGGTGTCTTTTGGGTTATCAGATTTTTATGCCTCCTGCATCGTGAACTCAGGTCCTTAAAAACAAACAATCATAATAGCAGATGATGAAAGCCCCGTCCTGTGAAATACAGAAGGATATGTCAGTGGTAACTTTAGGTTTAAATGTTTTTTAATGGAAGTAATAAAACCTTTCAGAAAACTCATGTAACTTTGTTACAAATGCATAGCTTCATGCCAGAGAAACCTCAAATACCCCTCGTACATCTGTGGATAATTGACTCTGAGATGCACAAGCACACCTCGTCAATGCGCTTGAGAAATATCATTTGTTACCATAGACGTGAAAAATGCATTGAAACTCTGTCTACAAGGGTGTCTGAAGCTGTAATGGCAGCAGCGCTCTCTATAAATGTAGTATGAAAAAAGGAGCTGCCTCTCTGTCCGCAGTATCTTAACAGGAGAAAACTAAGTCATTGCTGAGAGCCTCACTGTCCAAAAGTGACAAAGTCCACTATCCATTGGATAGTGCTTTTTAGCACATAGTAAAATCTGGTGTTTTTTAAAGGTGGTAGTGTTTACAGTGTGTTTGCCTTTTATTAAAAGCAACCCATTCAAACAGATCAGTGGTTCCTAACATATTTTATCTAACGCTTCATCAAAACTTCATGTTCCAATGTGTTCAATTCAGCCAATTTTACATTTGATGTTGACTATTTTTCCTTTTAGGAATAATTTTAATTAACTATTTAATTCAGCCAATAGTTTAATTTGTTTACCTACTCTTTTTTGCCAAAAATATTAAATAAAAAAATACACCTGCTAACTGTGCTTTTAGCTATTAATTGGCTTTTTTTTTTTTTTACATACAGAACTTTAACTAGACATTTCAGGTGTTCTTTCAGTATATTTCTAACAATTTAATTTGTTAATTTTACATTGTTACCTAACAGTAACAACTGCTCATCAGAGCTAAAGCTAATTATTTGTTTTCTGCTTTATTGGTTTTAACTATTGTGTATTAAATTTAGCTAACATTTTCTTTTGCTTATCTGTTATTTAGACCAACTCTTAACTGCTAGCCAAAATTTTTTTTATTTATTTTTTTTAAATTTTTCAGATCGTTATTTCAGCTCTATTCCCAGGTGGTTAATTGAATTTGTTCATCCAATAGGCAGTATTGAATGATGAGACCATAACAAGAGGCCAAACTTGCAGTAGCAAATCGACAAACACTGCAAAAGCATAGAAAATATGAGGGGAAAGGGTTAAATAAAACACAACTGGATTAGAAAAAACGACATCAGAGGGTTTAGTCTTGCCCAAGGATAATTCGACATACACAGGGATCGAACCAACCTTTTGATTAGCTGACAACCCACTTTACCTCCTGAGTCACCTGTTACCTATTTATTTATTTATTTTTAAAGATTTCTTGGATTTCTGACTGTCTATTAACTAAACCTGTGTTTGTCCATTAATATTATCTAACTTTTAACTTCTAAACCTCCTCATGTCTATTTGCTTCTACAATTAAATTTCAGCTTTCATTATTTTACATTGATACTTAAGCAGTACTATCATAGGGCAGTTCAAATTTATTTATATAACACCGAATCAGAACTACAGT